TTGTTAATTTGATGTACACACTTGTCTTGTTAATTTGATGTACACACTTGTCTTGTTAATTTGATGTACACACTTGTCTTGTTAATTTGATGTACACACTTGTCTTGTTAATTTGATGTACACACTTGTCTTGTTAATTTGATGTACACACTTGTCTTGTTAATTTGATGTACACACTTGTCTTGTTAATTTGATTTACACACTTGTCTTGTTCATTTGATTTTTGAAAAACATGCTGCCCTGCACACTTTTGTCAAAATGACATACCCTTCATATAAAGTGGACCGGTAGTTCTTGAGCTCTCTTACTACAGCTATACTTATCAAGTCCACATAGATGTGGTAGATATTTCTAAAAGCGTTTGTCCTATATGTATTTATAATTGCCCGAGCTGAAATTTTACAATTTAGAATGAATAATACTACTATACGACTGTGTAATGTTTATTGTAATGCTATTTATTTCAATACAAAATTGTGGCTAACGTGTTAAACCAGCAGATCTGTGAACATTGATTATAATTCATGAAATTCTGTGTTAAGGAAACTAGTTTAAAAGCATTAACACATTAGCAAAAGAATTTTTACATGTGATGCGGTATATTTTTTATTGATAGAAGTTTGTCATTAATTTTTTACAGTTTTACATCGATGCTCTAATGGTTTTATGACCAATGTGTTGGAAGTAAATGCTAGATTGTGATTTAAGATAGTGTATAACGACCTGTCTCCATGTAAAACTTAAAATATTAATCTGTCATTAAAAATATAAGTCACAGTACAGTAATGTGTCAAGCACCATAAATCAGAGAATGTAAAAATATAGGTCACACTGACAAAGGATATGCCTAAAATATCATGCGTGTAAACATTGCACGCTTTGAACCTTTAATTTGGTTCTTCTTTTAAGGATGTTTTTCACTCTAATGTTCATCATTTCGGAATGTTTTGCACTTAAATATTGGCTAGGGTATAGTAAAATGTCTTCTTCTCTTGTAATTCCCAATCCTGCAGTACATCCCTTGCTGAAGAGGGGCGTCCTTTTGGCCGTGCGGCACGTATACATACGCAGCCACGTGTGGTCAGAATGGGTACGTTTAATGTGATGTCTCGTGCAAGAAAAGTATTAATCTATACATCCTTACATCAAAATAAAATGTCCTTTCTGTACAGTCGAATTCACACTGGTTTACAATAAGATTTGACACTGATTCGTCCAACAATACAGCTTAATAACCATGACCCTTGAAACTTTCATATGAAACACGATTTGATCAGATAGAATATATATATATGCGAATCCATGACCTAAAGTTTTTTTTTATTTTAACAAATCTTTATTACACAAAGATAAGCCTACACATACCTTTGAAAGAATTACAGTTTAATGATCACTTTAATATTATTTGTTTTTGATTTGTTGACAATATACCGATCCTTAGATGGAATGGAATATTTATGTCTTACAGGGGATTAATTTGATTATATTTCGTTTTTTAATTTGACGTCACGCAACTTAACCTGTCTGAAATACACGCAAACAGATGGAAAACCCAAGGACACTAACGATCATTTAGTTCGAACTAATACCCTTAAGCTCACCGTACGGCCTTCAACAATCTGCAAAATAATACCGGAGTGGAAGTTTAAAAAGGTCCCGGGATAACAAAACGGGGAATAATTTGTAGGAGAAAAACAGCTGCCCGATTTAAGCAAATACTGAGCATTCTATGAGAACAAAAATTATGTCAGAAGGCAACATCTGGCCACTGGCTTAACACAGTTGTATTAGGACTGTGGTTAAGTAAAAGAAATATTTTACTTTTTTCAAAACAATTGTATGCGGCGGTGAACTCGTTCAAGTCCTAAGTTAACGTGAGTCATTTGCTAATGAAAGGTTTATAAAAAGTAGATTTTTTATGGAACACTGAGGTTTTTCTACCCAAGGCAAATCTATCCTCAATTGTATTTGTCACAACTTTTCGTTATTTGTGGTTTTCAATGCTTTTCAACTTCATATTTGATGTGGCCTTCTAAATGTTTTGATGCGCACACTACCGGCGAGTCTTCGGTAGACAGAATTAAAATTGCTAAAAAGTGGGACCAAAAAGGGGAGGAGGGGGGCTTTCCCCGCCCGTTCTCTACGCCTCTGTTGCCAATCGACAATTGTTTAGAAAAGTGTTTTAGTGTATGTATCTTAGATTCGTTGTTGAGCAAGATACGATACAATTTGATTGATATACATAATCGCGTATGTCCACGCGTCGTTTACAAAGTCAAAGATCTGTCAATGCTCTGTTGAACTTTTTGTTCTTTTTTCATAACATAAACCAATGATATTCCCGCCTAGACTTGTAAAGATTTTTTTCAAAAAATCAATGTATATATTATTACATTACGGAAAATTCTGAAGTCCCCTAAAATGTCTTCAGGACAAATTGAAAACCATCTGGTATTGTCAGTTTTTAATTCTATAATACTCGAAATATCGATTTTCTTACTATTGTAAGTTAATATAACCTGATTTGAGAAAAACCTAGTGGTAAAGACCTGTTATGGTTCGCTGAACATATTTGTCGTTTGATTTATCTAAGAAACAAACTGCTATCCACTCTGCAAGAAATCAATCAAGGGTAACACATAAGATCATTACCATGAACTTTATAATTAAGTCAGCAAGTTAATTCCATTAAATGATTTCAATGCTTAGGGAGCTACCATTTGATTTTTATGGGGGAGGGGGGCTAGGATGAAAGTTGAAAAAAAATAGGCAGGACAGGAGTTTTGAGTAAAAACAACAGACAGGATGAGACACTTTGCAAAAAACAAAGGCAGGATGACAATTTATGTAAAAAAAAAGTCAGGATAAACCAAAAAAAAAAAAAAGGCAGGACCGAATAGAGTGAAAAATAAATAAAAAGGCAGGACAGAGATTACAACTAAAAAAAAAAAATGCAGGACAAAATTTTTCATCCTAGCCCCCCCCCCCCCCCCCCCCCCCCATAAAAATCAAATGGCAGCTCCCTTATATTGGGTATACACAAATGTATTGCAAGGCACCATCGCGGAAGAGAATTATGAATCCACAATTCTTTTCGTTCATTAACGTTAATGGAGTAGATATGTTCTGTTTACAAATAATAAATGTTTAAAGTTTCCTCGATTGGACATACAAATCATAACTACTGTGGGTTTCTATTGTCAAGAGATTACATTCAAATAGATCCAATCTACGCCGTTTATACTGTAATGCATATGATAAATGTTTTCAACTTTGCCTTTGTTTCTTGAGCAAATATTTGTTAAACTGAACATAGCTAGGATCAGTATGTAATTATAAAATATCATTGGTGATAATTGTTAAGATACATAATTAATGAACTTTACAAAACGTAAACTCCAACTATGAATTGTTTTGCATCAAATGTGAGCAATTTCCAATAAGCAAATAGCCATGGCGAATGAAATATTGGAAAAGATTTTATGAATTAGTCAGTTTGAAAACGACCAGAGGCAAATAAATTTACCTTTAGACTATATGTTACATACACTTTAAGTTTCACGAAATAGTTGCTTAAGATATAACATTGATTAAAAAATAAGCAAAATGAGTTAATTTCATTGAGCCGAACAATTTTTGTCCTTACTCTTAAATACAAAGCGTGGCGGAGATGCAACATATAAAAATTGTCCAGTCTATGATTTGAAATTTAGGCCAACAGCGTTAAATCTGCAAATTTGCAGTAGCAAATTTTGTTCTTCCTCAGGAGGATTCGAACTCGTGGAAACTTCGCCTATACTGTGTCCTGACCACTCGGCCAACTAGTTTATATATTATAGCTTTCGTTATTCAAGTAATGCCTTTCCTCGTTGGCTTTATCTAGGATTGTATCACAGTACGTGATGTATAATACTGTATGTATATAGTGCATTTTTAATATAAAGTGTATTACATGTTTTGTACATTGTTTATTACATGTACTTATAATCCGATTAAATATCAATATATTGTGGCCAGATTTAAGAGAAATACAAATCATTGAATAAGTTTAAGTAAGTCATCTAGTTTAAACTTTAGCTGATAATCTTAAAAACAGAAATTCAGTAACGTCTCTATGTAGAAACGTTTTGCGATGTAGTGTCACATATTGCACACAAACCATTTCTATACATTTGTATTACACAAAACAGTGTGAGTTTTTACCCAAGATGCATTAAAAAATTGGAAACTAATGGTGTTGGGTTGATTTACAAATTAAACAAATACCCCAACCTTTATTCTTCGAGTTATGACCAACATCACACTCGTTTATTTGATGAACAAAAATACATATATGAGGGTCTGGGTGGGGTTTTCAGAATCGAGAAAAATTGCCTAAAAATTAAAGAATATAGAGAAATGTAAGATCCCCCTCCAGACCCTTATACATAAATGTTGATGGTGATACAGAAAAACGCGTTACAATAAAATATTACCTTCTACATATATGACTACAAAGAAACTATGGAATTCTGATTAATACCGAAACATGTTTGTGTCTCCCTCTCCTCGGGAGCCTCGGCATTGATAGTAATTCAAATCTTAACGGTGTTGCATAATTTGTCACCCGGAATATGTTAACTAAACGGTATCGGTTTTATTTACAATTGAGGACTTTTTGGTAGCCTGTAGTTGATTGTTCCCATTATTGCGCTTTTGGTCTTTGGTGGATATTTGTCTCATTTGCAATCATCAAGATCTCCTTATTTTTTAAACTTATTTGTCATTCAGCGAATTAGGTGTAAACAATAGGTTTTTTATAGTCTGTTGAATTCCAACGCATCTTTTCGTAGAGCTGAATGTATTGTGTAGAAACAGTATCTATTGTTGAATATCTAGATGTCATTTGATTTTTTGTATTTGTTTATTGTTGTCCAATCAGCGTACGTTAATACCCTACGCCTACTATGATTTCTTCATTTTAACTATATCTGCAATTTATATTTCAGATAATGTGAAGGATGGGTGAATCAGAAAATGAGAAATTCCTAAAGAATTTAAAGACACTTATTAAAAGACGAGACATTGAAAAAATAAAGACTTTAATCAATAACCCGAAATTTGAGGTTAATGTGCGTGATGTCACACAAGATTTACAGACGCCAATGATGAAATTGTGTTATAGTGAGATACCGGACTCAAGTTTAATGGCTATTATGGATTTGCTCTTGGAACGCTATGCTGACTTAAACCTACAGGATTCTTCCGGGAAAACTGCGATGATGCATGCGTGTTTGGCGAGACGAACGACAATAGCAGACTATATTATAAGTGATCCTACTTCGAGACTGGAAATGTTTGACTTTGATGGAAATTCCGTTTTGTCGCATGCTGTTAAAAACATTGACTATATCATAACTAAACGGATCTTAGAACATCCAGCTGGTATTAGTTTGCTAGAAATATATAACAGTAATGGTAAGTCGTTATCAAGTGTAGAAATATATAACAGTACTGGTAAGTCGTTGTTATCATGTGTAGAAATATATAACAGTAATGGTAAGTCGATGTAATCAAGTGTATAAATATAAAACAGTAATGGTAAGTCGTTGTTATCAAGTGTATAAATATAAAACAGTACTGGTAGAAATATATGACAGTAATGGTAAGTCGATGTAATCAAGTGTAGAAATATATAACAGTAATGGTAAGTCGATGTAATCAAGTGTAGAAATATATAACAGTAATGGTAAGTCGATGTAATCAAGTGTAGAAATATAAAACAGTAATGGTAAGGCGATGTAATCAAATGTAGAAATATATAACAGTAATGGTAAGTCGATGTAATCAAGTGTAGAAATATATAACAGTAATGGTAAGTCGATGTAATCAAGTGTAGAAATATATAACAGTAATGGTAAGTCGTTGCTATCAAGTGTAAAAATATAAAACAGTAATGGTAAGTCGTTGCTCTCAAGTGTAGAAATATAAAACAGTAATGGTACGTCGTTGTTATCAAGTGTAGAAATATATGACAGTAATGGTAAGTCGTTGTTATGAAGTGTAGAAATATAAAACAGTAATGGTAAGTCGTTGTTATCAAGTGTAGAAATATATAACAGTAATGGTAAGTCGTTTTTATCAAGTGTAGAAATATATAACAGTAATGGTAAGTCGTTGTTATCAAGTGTAGAAATATATAACAGTAATGTAAGTCGTTGTTATCAAGTGTAGAAATATAAAACAGTAATGGTAAGTCGTTGTTATCAAGTGTAGAAATATAAAACAGTAATGGTAAGTCGTTGTTATCAAGTGTAGAAATATATGACAGTAATGGTAAGTCGTTGTTATCAAGTGTAGAAATATATGACAGTAATGGTAAGTCGTTGTAATCAAATGTAAAAAAATATATGACAGTAATGGTAAGTCGTTGTTATCAAGTGTAGAAATATAAAACAGTAATGGTAAGTCGATGTTTTCAAGTGTAGAAATATATAACAGTAATGGTAAGTCGTTGTTATCAAGTGTATAAATATAAAACAGTAATGATAAGTCGTTGTAATCAAGTGTAGAAATATATAACAGTACTGGTAAGTCGTTGTAATCAAGTGTAGAAATATATAACAGTACTGGTAAGTCGTTTTTATCAAGTGTAGAAATATATAACAGTACTGGTAAGTCGTTGTTATCAAGTGTAGAAATATATAACAGTTATGGTAAGTCGTTGTTATCAAGCGTAGAAATATATACCCGTTATGATAAGTCGTTGCTATCAAGTGTAGAAATATATAACACTAATGGTAAGTCGTTGTTATTAAGCGTAGAAATATATACCCGTTATGATAAGTCGTTGCTATCAAGTGTAGAAATATATAACAGTAATGGTACGTCGTTGTTATCAAGCGTTGAAATATAAAACAGTAATGGTACGTCGTTGTTATCAAGTGTAGAAATATAAAACAGTAATGGTAAGTCGTTGTTATCAAGTGTAGAAATATATAACAGTAATGGTAAGTCGTTGTTATCAAGTGTATAAATATAAAACAGTAATGATATGTCGTTGTAATCAAGTGTAGAAATATATAACAGTACTGGTAAGTCGTTGTAATCAAGTGTAGAAATATATAACAGTATTGGTAAGTCGTTGTTATCAAGTGTAGAAATATATAACAGTACTGGTAAGTCGTTGTTATCAAGTGTAGAAATATATAACAGTAATGGTAATCGTTGTTATCAAGTGTAGAAATATATAACAGTAATGGTAAACCGTTGTAGAAAACAAAAGTCTGGGTAAATGCCACATGTCTGAGTTAAATTTAGGGTAATGATTACTATTGCATTCTTCTTTTTTTAAGTTCCACGGTTAAGACATTATCCGATATCAAACATCACATCAATTATTACTAGATACGTCACCACTCGTCAAGTTTCGGAAAATATTCTTCAACTTCATTAGTTTTCAAGGAAACAAGAACATACATTAAAAAACAATTGTTACTAAAGGCACATAAAAAAGAATGAAAATAACAGATATTTCAAAAATAAATTCAAAGATGAATAGCTAACCCATATCGCTTAGTAAACGATACGTTCATGGTCCCTTTTAAAAAAAATACAGTCGTAAATCTTATCCTCTTTATAAGAACACTACCGTTATAATTATACATAGAACATTTCACACACACACACAAACAGAAAACAATACAAAAATCTGGTAATAATACTAAGGACCAACGGCTACAAAACTTAAGAATGATGAACATCGTTTTTTTTTTCTGAATCCTGGTATATAACCGAATCTATCTTCAAAAATGGCTGCCTTTGTTACTAAAAATTAAAAATATTAAAAACATTGTTACCACACATTCATCCTTATTTAATTCCAGCAAATAGGAAAACAGGACTATCCTACCAGAAGCCATTTTCAATTTTGATCTATTTCAAAATGTATTTAAAAGTTTCTGAAAATCCATTAAAGGACCGATTTATTGATATTTTACTTAAATATAAAATGATAATTAATGGTAAGGGAACAGCTGTCAAATACTGACAACTATGAGCCTGTTGTTCAGTAGTTGTCGTTTGTTGATGTGGTTCATAAGTGTTTCTCGTTTCTCGTTTTTTATATAGATTAGACCGATGGTTTGTTTTCCTGTTTAAATTGTTTTACACTAGGCAGGACAATTGGCAATCCTGGTCAATTACGATGGGAGTCAAACGTAACGTGCAACGTACAGGGTGCAATCTCACAACCTCAGTATTGATAGGCTGGTGATACTGAAGATAAATAACTAGTATCAATTGGCCACCGCGGCCCAACTAATGATTAATAAATGTAATGTCTACTTCCTTTCAATTCTGAACTGAAATGTGTATTTACTAATTAAATCCTTACTTCATGTGTAGCAAAGATATTTTGATTAACGACAAACTGGACTCATCCGTGGTCAACTTTGTCTAGTAACATAATGACTTAGTTGTTTCATAACCAGTAATTATTTCCAAACTTTTCCATTTCAGGACAAAAACCATTACATATGGCAATAAAGAGTGGAAATAAAAAAATAATCAAAATAATAGAGCAGTTCGAAGCAAATATACCAAGAGCAAAAGTGAAAGAAAAACAAATCAAACTAGGACACGACCCGGTTCCTTCGATTTATTCACCAAGAACGGAGAGGAAACTTTTACTAAAACGAGGACCGGTTGATTCGTCTCTTGCTCTTCAATTGGAAACGTCGTCTAAAAACGATGACTCTGACCACGCTTTGACATTATCGTCTGTAAAACTCAACCGTAGCAAAAAGTGTGCAAATACTATTTTGTCACCAGATCTTATCTTACCCTCAATTTCCGAAAAGACTGAGAAAAATCGAACATGGAATATGGAATCTCCTCTTGCAAGAAGAAAAGCAAGGCGGAATTCAGTATCACTTCCTGACCTGCGCGATTCACCTCTTGTTCAGTCAGGAGAGAATACTCCGCTTATGTTAGATTTAATAGATGGACCTGATGGGGATGACGACGATGATGACACTTTTATAAATTCTGGTCGTTCTCCTAGGAAAACCACCGAGAATATTCAAAACATTCGGAAATGTATCTCAGAAAATCAGTTGTCTTTTCCAAGTATAATTAACAAAAACACAAGTAAGAATTCTCAAGTGAAACGAACTCTGACTGAATCAAGTATCTACAGCAATAGCGATGATGCTCTTTCTCGCACGATGCAGAGATTACTGTGATTGAATGTATTTTTACGAATCTTTAGTATAACTTGCATGTACGACAACAAACCATTCTTTTCACTGGACTATACACGCTTCAATCTCATATTGATTGAAGTGATACATTTTTGAAATATATCAAGACTTTTGACCAAACTAGCTTGCGTTGCTATCAAAGCATACCAAATGCAGATATAATCTCGAAGTATTACATTCTGTTTTTTTTGTTGTATTTATTCATTTTTATAACATAGTACTTATACTACACTGATAGTTGGTTTGAGAACACGAAATCAGAGTTGTTTTGTTGTAATTTTAAATGTATGTCTCTAAGATGTGTTATATTGTTATTTTTTTTTATTCAAACTAAATAGTTTGCAAAGAAAATGTATTATTCTATAGCTATTCCGCATAGAAACTGGAGACAAGAGGCGGATTTAGAGGGTTTTCAAAGGGACCCGGGCCCACCCCTTTTGTGGGAAAAATTGGTTGATTCTTAAGAGAATCACTGAAGCATGACTGAAGCGGGCCCCCTCTTAGGCAGTCAGTGCCCCCCCCCCCCCCCCCTTTTATGAAAATTTCTGGATCCGCCACTGTGAGACTGACAAACATGACCCAATTAAAAATTGGGGGTGATTTCAGGTGCTACAGAAAGGCAAGCAGGTGTGAACTGCTTTTGGTTGAACTGCTATTGCTTAAGCATGGTCAAATATGATTCTCTATATAGATATAAGAAGATGTGGTATGAGTACCAATGAGACAACTCTCCATCCAAGTCAAAATTTATAAAAGTAAACCATTATAGGTCACACTTATGAACCACATCAACAAACGACAACTACTGAACATCAGATTCCTGACTTAGGACAGGTGCAAACAAATGCAGCGGGTTTAAACGTTTTAATGGTACCAAACCTGCACCCTTTTTCTGAAACAATAGTGTAACATCACAACATAGAAAGACACACTATAAAATATCAACTGAAATAGCTTAACTCAATCAAAAAGACATATTAACACCATTGAACATACGTATACACTGAACAAATAAATTTGACCTATATATGTTACAGGCATTTTCTAAATTTAGTCATTTTGTAAAATGACTTAATTTTCAGGCAATATATAAAATGCCTAACCTTGACAGGCATTTTTAAAATGACTAAAAATACCTAGTCATTTTGTAAAATGACTGAAATTTTGAAACAGAATTCAACAAATTGCCTGTTCAGTTTTAGGCAATTTGTAGAAAACGGATATCATTGAGATGCATATGACAAAAAGTGGACAAAAGCACAACATCTTGCAAAGAAAATAACTAATGGTTTGATAGAATTAATTTATTCTTCAAAAAACAGCTGGGAAAGTCTGTATGTCATATGATATGTTCCTTTTAGTGAAACTACGTTAAGTATGTACTCACTTTGTATTATAGATAGTAAATTTATGATTATTTTGTCAAAATAGCAGAAGGACAAAATGTTCTTTCAATAGAACAAAATTTACAAACGAATTTTGGGAAAATCCAGATTCAAAACAGTGAAGTGAAGTGAAACGTATGAAGCAGAGAAAAAGAAGTTTGTTTTTAATTAACTGATTGCTGTTTGTTTGCTTTCAGTAGCAAATATTTCATGCACTTTTACGACGAGAACAATTTGGTTATAATTCATATTGGTTATTTCTGCAGTGGATTAACTTGGATAAAGGACAGAAATTTCGACTGCCTCTTGAAATGAAGGTATTTTGGATAGGGACAGAACATTCCACCTGCAGAACGGTCAAAGGATTTCTTGCCGTACAGAAAGTGTTGCATTTTACTAACATGCGGCAATATATTTTATGTTCCTATTCAGAAAGAATGAAAATTTATACATCCACATCCAAACAAATTCTCCTCCATACCATGGGTTTCGTCATACAAGGCTGTGTTTGGTTGTGATGCAAAGATATGAGTATCTTCATCTTCACTGCCTCAAGAAAATTCCTGGGTCTTTGCAATCTGATGATGTAATGAGACAGTAGTTAACTGTGTCGAAAATCGACCAAGAAGAGACAAATAACAATGCATTGACAGGGTAAGCGTCTCCTATTATAGATGCATCACCCGTCATGGGCAGATCTGCTTCAGTCCGTAAAAATCTATAAGCCAAAAGATACAAGTCAAACTAATCATGATAATGTACTTTGAATCTTTTGTGAACATATGAAAAAGAATATATTCCTGTGTGACGTGTGTGCTTATTGCGAAAACCAATGTTGTCGACCATTAAGTGTTTTATCAGAAAAGGTAATGAAAGAGCTAAATGTGTCATGGTCCAGGTTTCTCCAAATGTGGTCAAAGTGCCAAAACCAGATTTTACGCCAAACAATGTATTTGCAAAAAATCAGGACAATTATTGTGTATTAACAGTTCTGTTATCCAAACATTTTAAGAAATGACAAATAATTGTAGTTCTGTGCTTGTGTGAATTTGGAATAATTCAGTAAAACTTATTTTTGATTATTAAAGCTCTTAAATTACAAGCTTTAACATTCAGAAATTATCATAAATCTAACTGCTCTGTTGTCCAAAGCTTTCAATTGTTTTTTTAACATTTCATTCTAGAAAATAATTTCAGGCATTTTGTAAAATGTCTTTCAATATTTCCAGGCATTTTGTAAAATGCCTAGAAAAATTAGTCATTATGTAAAATACCTGAATCTTGCAGGCATTTTACAAAATGCCTAAATTTAGAGAATGCCTATAACATACATATCGTTAAAAAGTCTCAGTAGAACGTTTCATTTTTTTCAAACAACTGTGATCACTCACTCTATCACTTATTCTCTTTTTCTTACATGTACTTATTCAGAAATATTATACAGTACCAATGTCTCTAATACCATGAATACCTAGTGTTTTGTTGACGGTTCGTTGTCTTTTCCTCATGTTTGATATCTTTCGCCTCCATTTTGCATCATCCTATGGAAGCGCATATGGTACACCCCTTGTAAAGTTATTTTGTTGCAAATAAGTCGGAATTATTAGTTATGTTGTGTGTTATAAGCTGGAATCAAATCATCATGTGGAGTCAACTTGTCGGAATGTCGACTTGTTAGAATAAATGTAATGACAAAGTAATAAGAAGTCGACATGTTGAATTCAACTTGTTAACTGATTAAGTCGACAACTTGTTTATTTGATGATGAGGTTAAACCACGTGACCATTTTGGAAAAACATAGGTCTATTTTTAAATCGATTTCCATATCAGTCGTTTTTTTAATGTGCTTCCGATGTGTGTCGCTATCCAATGAATTCAAGTTCAAATTAAAGTACGAGCTGATTTTCAGAGTTATTTGCTATGAAAAGGAGAACGACAGTCAAATATCAGGGAAAAAAGTACTAAATAATAACAATATTTCGGACATAAGGGGGATATAACCACACCACTTAGTCCGGCCGTTTATTTTCCTTAGTTCTCAAACGGAAGCAGTCTTATAATAAATTCGTGAAGGATTCCACGGAACACTCTGTCTTGCATGAGATTGCTACTGTCAGTGTAAAATTGTAATGTTGACCGTAAAAAGTTCATTTTTCTGTAACATACAAGATTTTAAAAAAAGGATTTTCTGTAGATGCTTTATCTTAATCTAAAAGATTAACTTCATACAAGTTTTATAACAATTCATAGAGATTTACAAATGTATCAGGACAAAAAAGTTTTGGTATTATAGCCAATGAGACATCTCTCCACCACATACCAAATCACGGAGAAGTTAACAACTATGTGTCACTGTATGTCTTCAACAATGAGCAAAACTCTTATCGCATAGTAAGCTAAGAAAGATCCCGAAATGACAAATCTAAAAAAAAAGTAACGATCTAAATGACGAAGACGCTGACGCCATTACCGACGACGGAATAAAGGTTTGCTGTGTCTACCTTCCACTATGACTTTTTAATTTATTGTCAACAAATGAAACACTTTTAATCAACTCACACTCAAGTTACAGGGAAACGAAGGATAATATATGTTCCAATTTTCGTAAGCACAATTCCGTCCTTTTTTCCTCGAGGATGACCTACCGCATTAGACCAAATCACTGGGTTTGCAATTTCACGAATTACACGACAGGCGACTCACGTTGATCAGGATCAGCTCACTCTACCGGAGCATCGAGATCTACGCCGGATTTTGATGAATTTATATTGGCCAGTAATACCGATCTATTGAGTTAGCCAGTTGCAACTGATTTTATAGTTTTTGTTGTGCTGTTATACGGCGATCCCATGTTAGGGTTAGGGTCAAATTCCTTTCTCAAGTCAAGACCTTGTAGTTCAATGGTTGTCGTTGGTTTATGTGTTTCGTATTTGGTTTTCGTAAATTGTTTTGTTATAAATAACGCCATTAAACTTTCTCGTTTGAATTGTTTCACATTTCCACGTGGTGGCCTTTTATAGCCGACTACATGATTTGCTGAAGGCAATACGGCTGCCTATTATTACTTACATCCTTTTCATTTAAACTCTGGCGGCTAGTTGTCTCATTGGCAATCACACCACATCTCCTTACTTTATTTAGTACTGGCGTGGGCGTCTTCGTCTTTTAGATCGTTAGGTTTCTCGTTTCAATTGTTTTACATGTCATATAGGATTCTTTCATAGCTTTCTATCAGTGCGCTAAAGGTTTTGCTAATCTTCTTATTTTTATTTAGCTAGCGGATCCCTCCCCGTATGCTTCCTTTGTATATAATTCACTGCGATTCTACATAGATACTAGCTAGGAACAGGACAGTTTGGTTTTTTTGCAGTAAGTAAAACTGTTTTATCATGACAAGTTTATAAACCTCCATGAATTGTTATGAAACTTGTATCTATGCGTTATCCTTCTAGATCAAGATAAAGCAGCTAGAGAAAAACTATTAATTTATTATAATACTGATTCCGTTTGAGAACTAAGGAAAATAAACGGCCGTACTCAGTGGTCCGAAATATTGTTATTTTTGAGTACTTTTTTTCTGATATTTGACTGCCGTTCCCTCTTTCCATACCAAAATAGCTCTGAACATCAACTCGAACTTTAATTTAAACTTGAACTCAATGGCTAGCCAGGGGCGGATCCAGCCATTTATAAAAGGAGGGGGGGGGGGGGGGGGTCCTAACCCAGGATAAAGGGGGGGGGGGGTTCCAACTATATGTCTCCATTCAAATGCATTGATCGTCAAACAAAAAAAAGGAGGGTTCCAACCCCCAACCCCAACCCCCTGGATCCGCCACTGCTAGCGACACTCATCCGGAGCACATTAAACAAACGACTGATATGGAAGTCGATTTAAAAATAGACCTATGTTTTTCCAAAATGGTCACGTGGTTTTACCTCATCATCAAATAAACAAGTTGTCGACTTAATCAGTTAACAAGTTGAATTCAACATGTCGACTTCTTATTGATTTGTCATTACATTTATACTAGATAACAAGTCGACATTGTAATGCAATTTTTACTTCATCATTCCGACAAGTTGACTCCACATGATGATTTGATTCCAGCTTATAACACACAACATAACTAATAATTCCGACTTATTTGCAACAAAATAACTTTACAAGGGGTGTACCATATGCGCTTCCATAGTACAAGGACATCATTCGTAAATATAAATCAACATGCAGACATCTTATACGTTCAGGTATTTCACATCCAATATTTTATGCCAATATTTTATGGTAATATTCTTTACAAAGCAAAAAAAATGTCGGCATTCATCTCAAAAGCTAACTAAACCTTTAAACAGACTTATTTGGAAAGGATATAGTTACGATACTGTTGTCAAGTCATTAAGGATTGCACATTTTGGTATTAATATTGATTCACTCATAAGGTCTTTGCATCGGAAATAAACACATTATTCTAAAACCAGTTGTTGGCATAATACATGTACGGGTTATGTTCTTCTCATATATTTTATGATGGTATGATACTAAACCCCTAACGGGAGGGATTGTACTTGATTTTCATCTAATGAAGACATAATCTTTCAATCAGTTTAATTGAGGTTTGGAGCTGGCATGTCAGTAACTGCTAGTAGTCCTTTGTTCAATTATGTATCATTGTCATTTTGCTTAGTTTCTTTTGTTACCTATTCTGACATCGGACTCGGACTTCTTTTAAACTGAGTTTTACTGTGCGTATTGCTATGTGTTTCTTTTTTCTTCATTGAATAGAGGTATAGGGGGAGGGTTGAGATCTCACAAAACATGTTTAACCCCGCCGCATTATTGCGCCTGTCCCAAGTCAGGAGCCTCTGGCCTTTGTAAGTCTTGGATGTTTTTTTTAATTTTAGTTCATTTATATGTTTTGGAGTTTAGTGTGACGTCCATTTTCACTGAACTAGCACACAATTTTATTTAGGGGCCAGCTGAGGACCACCTCCGGGTGCGGGATTTTCTCGCTGCATTGAAGACCCATTGGTGGCCTTCGGCTGTTGTCTGCTCTTTGGTCGGGTTGTTGTCTCTTTGACATATTCCCCATTTCCATTCTCTATTTTATTATCACGGATATTAAACTGTTAAAACTATTTATGCTTTATACTAGTATAGAAAACACATGTTTATCAAAACTTTCTAAAAAAAGTTCATCGGAAGATACCGAAACCTTGTTGATAAATATTCCGTATCAACTTCACAAATAATACATGATGGTCTTGAAGTATAGATTCTAGGTAATGACGTTGTTTTTCATCTTAATTACGTGTTATAGTGTTCTTTCGGTTGGCTTTGTATATTTTTAACCTTGCTCTTTTAATTTGGTCCATTTTTGTTAATATCCTTTTGGCGTGGCTCGGTACATATACATCCCGCCAATGTGTTATGGTGTGATGGTCATTTTTTGTATTCTTGTCTTTAATTCATTTTTGCTTATGTGCTTTATTTATAGAGTGTCTATATGCCGTTTTGTTTTCTTTGTTAACAACTGTTTGTTTTATAGTGATTGAGATTAAAACACAATGTTGACTGCTGTACCCCAATTGTCTTGCTCATCTATTTTGTTATTTAAAGTTTCTATCTATCTTTATATAATTATAGTTTTCAAGATAATAGCAAAAAACGCCAAATATTGATATACATGTATATCGTTATCTAAAAGCAGGACCTCCATCATTTTTGCTGTTTATAGTGTCTATCTACCTATTGTAGTTTTCAAGACACTAAAAATTGCGATTTAAGAGCAATAACTCCAATAAGAATTTTGGCAAAAACCTTCATTGTAGATCTTGTCTTGTTGATTACTTTTGCTTTTTAAAGATTCTATCCATCTTCAATTGGAAAAAGAAATCATCATTAAAGGGCAATAACTCTACTAAGGAGTCATCTGATGATTTCGACCATTAGATTTATTTGAAGACCTTGTCTTGCTGATTTTTGCTATTTAAAATTACTTTTTATCTATTATACTTTTCACGATAATAGGCCAGAATGAAAAAAAGGTAAAATTAGTCATTTAAGTGCAATAACTCCCCATAACTAGTCGTCTGACAGTTTTGACGTTAACAGATAATAGGTAGAGCTCAACATTTTGAACATTTTTGCTTCGTCAGAATTTCTCTACCTATGGCGGTTTTCAAAATAATAGACAAAACTTGCATTTTACCCCTATGTTTTATTTTTAGCCATGTCTTCCTTCTTGGTTGGCAGGCGGGATCATTGGACACATTTTAAAACTATATACCCCCTTGATGATAGTGGACAACTTTGATTAAATTTGGCCAAGTACAGTGGAGATCACTTCTAACCTCTCATTAGAACTGTCAGAATAATCTGTCATAGAACTGTTCTAAACTGTAACTGTCAGAATCAGTTCTAGGTAGAACTGACCAAATCAGTTCTAGGTAGAACTGTCAGGATCAGTTCTAGGGTAGAACTGTCTTAAAACTGTTCTAGGTAGAACTGTCCAAATCAGTTCTAGTCGTAGAACTGTCAGCAGAACTGACTAAATCAGTTCTAACCGTAGAACAGTTCTAAATGACGTCACTGCAGTTAGAGAAATGTTAAAACAGTACTGTGATGAGAATTTTTTAATATATATTATGATAATATTCTTTTGACTTATTTATATTTAAGACAAAGAGTTCTTAAAACTGTTCTATGGATAGAACTGACTAAATCAATTCTAGCCGTAGAACTGACCAAATCAGTTCTAATCGTAGAACTGTTCTAGTCGTAGAACTGTTCTAGCCGTAGAACTGTTCTAGTCGTAGAACTGACTAAATGTTTGGTCAGTTCTAGTGTAGAACTGTCAGGATCAATTCTAGGTAGAACTGTCTAAATCAGTTCTAGGTAGAACTGACCAAATCAGTTCTAGGTTAGAACTGTTCTAGCTAGAACTGTCTAAAAGGTGTCAGGATGTCAGTTCTACATACTGTCCTAGAACAGTTCTCCTGACAGATTCTGACAGATTTGATGAGAGGTTAGAAGTGATCTCCATTGTAGTTTCAGAGGAGAAGATTTTTGTAAAAGTTAACGGACGACGGACACCAAGTGATGAGAAAAGCTCACTTGGCCCTATGTGCCAGGTGAGCTAAAAAAAAAACTACGTGTAGAGAGAGACGTATGCTTTAAGTTCAAGCCAAAATAACATTTAATTTCTTTACTACTAATTGGTACGGTGTGGAAGAAACGTGCGTCTGGAGTTAAATATAAGCCTGGTATCTTTGACAAGTTTTTTTTTATTATCTTTCACAAACTGGAAGCATACATTTCTCCAAAGGTATTGTTTACATCAAGATAAATATATCTGTAAAATTAGCATATCACGATTGTATTACTGCTGTAAATACAAAGAGCTAAAAAATTACAAAACACAAAAATAGCATTAAAAAGCTGGAAAAAAGCGCTAAAAGGCTCGAAAAAGCGATCCAAGAAATAACGAGAGTAAAAAAATCAATCATAATTTTTTTCAAAAATGTATGGCGTTAAATATTATAAATATTTGTAAATTGTACCTATACATTTTTACCACACTAAAACTAACAATTTACTAATTTGACCTGCTTTGTTATTTGAATGAATTAACAATCTGGCATCAAATTTCAGATTTAAGGCGATATTAAAAATCTATGTGTATATAAGCTTCATTCAAAAGTATATAAACAATTGGGAATGAACCGTCCTCGTCGTATACAAAGTTCCATTGAACAGGAAGGTGAGGAGTTATGAATCTTAACCCGCTTCAAACAGTATAGACGAACCAGATAAATCCTAATAACAAATGTATTCGGTTAATAGGAAGTTGATGAGTGATGAATCTGAAAACGCATCACACGGTAAAACATGTTCACATGAAGCCAAACAACAAATTTTAGGAAGCTCTTATTTGGAGTTCCCAAAATAAACTCGACGGATATTTCATACATGACCATTATGTGTTAGAATATATAACTGGAAGCTTACTGAGGAAAATGCGACGGAATTATCATGGGACAGACGAACATACGGACTAACAGATAGGGTTTAAACAGTTTCCCTCTTTCGGAGCGGTGGTATAATAATTTCAAAATGGTAAAGACACAAGCATGACAAACCTAATATGAACTTTTTCAGCTGCATTATAGGAACAAGTATCATACAATATTTCAAACAATAAAATTTAAGTAAAGCATTCGCGTACACACATGTACAATTCAAAATAGGCATGCGTATTTAACACATAAATACATTCAGAAACAATTACATGTGCTCGAAATATCATTCGTTTAACGTGAATTATATCAAATATCTATACTTAGTTTGCAACAAAGTCCCGTACAGAAGCATTTTTAGCACAATACAAGTCGTATACTATGTTAATCGTTCATTCTAATGTGTTGCATGAAACATGAGATCGAATTGCGAGGAGTATCAACATTCAATTGCATAATTTTATTTGGCAAGCACGTGACTTCCATATAAGAGGGTCTGGATGGTCTGGATGGGGAGGTCTTTCATTTCTGTATTCTTCAATTGTCTATGTTTTTTTTTTTTTTTGGTTTTCTTTATATGTTTTGCAAAGTATTCTCTATTCTTTATATTTGAGCACACCATTATTCTTCATTTATCTTCATAAACAACCGACAACATTTCTAGCTTCATCAATTTAAATCTGCAGTTCGTTGGTTACCATGGTTACCAAATTGATCTATCTAACTTTATTTCTCTGCTATGACGTTTTCCATCTGCTGACCTGAAAAAAAGAAAGAGAGATTTTTCAACAAATTAAAATACATTTTGTTTTAATAGAAAGAAAAAGATTTGATAACTCATTAAATACAATCTGCGTTTTTATAAATGATATAAAATGCTTTCTGTTCTTTGAATCATATTCGACACTTTAACTTCACCTTCCGCTCTCACTATATCATTCAAAACTTGGTGACTATGTTTAACTTGAGATAAAGGATACAACAGATACAGTTAGGTATGGCTCATGTCTTGACTTACATCTAGAAATTGAAAATGAGGGCTGTTGAAAACAAAATTTTACGAAAAAGAGATGATTTCAGCTTCCCAATTGTGAACTTTCCATTTCTATGTAGTAACATTCCAGCACCGTTTGCATACGGAGTATATATCTTCCAGTTGATACGCTATTTTCTTATCATGATTTCCTTGATAGAGGGCTGCTGCTCAAAACGAATATATTAAACCAAGAGTTCCAAGAGGTCAAGTTGAAATCATCCCTTCGTAAATTTTACGGACGCCATCACGAGTTGGTTGACCGTTATGGAATATCTGTTTCACAGATGACGACAGATATGTTCCAATCCCGTCCCCTTTTCCCCCGAATGTGACCTACCAAATTAGACTTACCACCGGGTTTGCACTTACATGAGCAACACGACGGGTGCCACATATGGAGCATGATCTGCCTACCCTTCCAGAGCACCTGAGATCACCCCCTGTTTATGGTTGGGTTCGTGTTGCTCAGTGTTTAGTTTTTCTATGTTGTGTTTTGTGTACTGTTGTTTGACTGTTGGTCTTTTTAAACATGGCGTTGTCAGTTTATTTTCTACTTATGAGTTTGAATGTTCCTTAGGTATCGTTCGCCTCTATTTTGGAATTAAAACATGATCATCAACATTGGAAGCAATAGAGAGAGGGGATATCAAGCAGACAATCTAAATAATTAGATCAATAAATACAAATATGGCCATAATGAAAACGACAAAAAGACAAACATCAATAACAAAAACGAAGACTGAGCCACACGAACCCTACCAAAAAACAGAGAGGAACTCCTGTGTTTCGGAAAGGTCAGCAGATCCTGTTCCAAAATTCACATCTGCCGTGTTACTTTTGTTAAATTTATTCATGAGTAATGTGTTATGATGGTATTCATATTTATTTTGACATGTGTTTTTTTCATATTTGGCAACATATTTATCGTTTAGTCACTTGCAAATGGATGGGGAATCTGTAAAGATATTTCGTGGATGAGTTGTCTCGTAGTTTCAAGGGGAAAAGGTGACCAATGAGAATCAAATGCGCTTTGCGAATTAGAAATTTGCATAATCTGGATGCATTGAAATATTTTTAAAAACCTTTATTTTTTTTCATTCAAACTAATTCAGTGAATTTCAACTACGTCGATTCAGATAACAAACAGAAAGAAAATGTGATTTCTCACAGGGTTAATAGAAAAACTATGGAATCACTGCCGCGCAAGGTTTGCTACCCAATCAGTACGAAATGAGACAAGTGTTTGAAAGATCCCAGAAGCATTATTTCTATGATTTTTTTTACTGATTTCCCCTTGTAATTTTTGAAGCGACGACATGAAAAGATATTGCCTATCAAAATCAATAGTTGCCGCTGGTATAAATCAAAGTTTCCTTTAATTTCAATGAAAGGAAGATATTGTCATAAAAAATCATGCATTCTTGAAAAGTTTTGTCCACATCAGCAGAAAAGAATTAAAGGGGCACTAGCTACGAGAAATATAAAAAATCTAAAATATGATTGTTTTTGTTAAATCATTAATGAAAGTGAAATAGTGAAATAGTAATTCGCTTTTAGCAGCCAGTCTGCTTCAATTTTGTAAAAATAATCTAAGAAACATTGATGATGAATTATTCACTTGCAAGTGAATAATTCTACCTCATTGAATCCGTATTCATGTGAACTTCAATTTAACCCCTTAGCTAGAGATGGATAACGCATGAATTGTGCGTGTAAGGTTATTTAAAGGAAAAGAATGTCAACATTGAAAGTGAAACAAAGGTAAATCATTTGATTGACTAATTCGATCCACACAAAAATCATTCGTACAAGCGATGATTAACATATATGTTTAATCCATAAAATTAAATTAAACAGACCTAGAAAAATCCAATTGCACGATTTCGATATCTATTTATATCTATATTTATATTTATATCGCTTATATGGTCATCGGAGGTCGTCGGAGGTCAACTCGAAAGTTAATTAGACGGCGTCTTAAGACTAGACTAAACTTTACACGAAACGAAGCTACATTTAATTGAGCCCATGCCCTGTAAATTGTTTATTTTAGACTTTTTATAATTTGGATAAATGTTTTACATTGTTATAAATCAAATATGAGAATTTGAGTCAAATCGGTGAACACGAATTTGACAGCTAGTGCCCTTTTTAAAGAGAGACGAAAGATACCAAAGGTACATTCAAACTCATAAGTCGAAAATAAACTGACAACGCCATGGCCAAAAAAGAAAAAGACCAACAGTAAAACAATAGTACACAAAACACAACATAGAAAACTAAAGACTGACCACGAACCCCACCAAAAACTGAAGGTTAAAGGTCGGAACATAATCCACAGACAAAGTACGCAAAGTGATGACTATTGTCACATTTGAGCTATAGTTGGCGTCAGTTAATCAAAGAGCTTGGCAGCGCTAAAGAAACAGATTACCATTGTGCCCTTGATGTCAGTCTTTTTGTTCTGATTGTTGGGTATGCTTGTCACCTAAAGAACAGGAAGTGCTAAATATCTGACGAAATTTCAATGTTCTTGCAATTGCAGTCATGCTTACCGTCTACAAAAGGGGCAAAATATGAGCAATGTTTTTTTTTCTAATTGCAGACCATGATTGTCATCTGAAAATTTTGTAATAGTCTGCCAATTGTAGATCATTCTTACCGGAGAACGGAGAATAGCTATAATGACTTAATACATAATTTTAAGAAGGAAGATATTTATTTTCAAAAGAATGTAACATGTTCTTTTTGGAAATGTGCCAATGCAGTGATGAATAAAAATATCATTTTAAGAATATTTCTACCAGACCGACTTACAGTGTTCTAAGTATAATCTGTTCCGATAATGTTTCGTCGCCTGTAACTTTATACCACTGTTTTTCATTTCCTGGACTATCCACACTATATTCAACAGTAAGCCCGGGGTAATAGGTATTGACATGCAGTTTACCATCCTCTATTCTAAATAAAACCAAAGTTAATAATATAACAATTATGATGACATTGTTATACGCACAGCAAATTTAAATCAGTTTACTCGTTCATTTAACTTTTTTTCACTTGTACACAAGAAAGGGACAATAAACCAACCTTAACAAACTGTTGACACAGAGATATGTCGTGACTGTAGGTACAAGCCAAAATAATATCCAGAAATGAGATGTGCCAGGGATTATACAACTGCATACAAATATCATTGACTTATCAAAAGGTGTCCCCTAAAACTCACCTAATCATAAACTTTAACATATAAACTAAAGCTCAATGGTTCTCTTCGGGAACTCTGACTTCACCCAGTTATAAAAACTGGATGCCTTAAAATAAACAAAATGTGCTGAAAGTGGCGTTAAACACCAACAATCAATCGGTCAAACGAACCTTAATACCAATATCTTATAAACATTTTAATATTTCTCTTCTAACAAATTATTGCAAGATTTTTTTTAAAACTCTTATATACTCCTGAACTGTTTAAAAATTACGTATTTTACTTCAAATTTGAAATATGCAAATATTCTAATTAATCTTGAAGCAGATTGCAATAAAAATTACTTGAAATGGAAAATATGTTGAAATGGGAACGGGTTATACATTTAGAATCTAGAAAATTTGATATATTCTATACAGTACTAGACCTACAGTAAAGCTTGTATCTTACTTATAAATACATGGTGTAATGCTAAGGAAAATAACACTTCACAAATTTACGTTCGTCCGAAGCGTTGTTTTTGGATTTACCTGCATAAGGAATCATCGAACCTTGACTTTTGTAAGCACATAGAAACGTTAGAAGCTATGAGCAGACGGGACTTAACGACATCTTTGCCTGAGGGGCTGAAATTAAGTTTCTGAATAATTAATTAATGTATCAACAGGGAAATATATATAAGTATGTTATAAATCATGTCAGTACCAAAGCACATACAACTGAAGCGATGATACTCACTGGGACGAACAGGCCACCAGCACTGGTATCGACCGAGAGCGAGGAAATTAAAATAACACTTCAACTTACATAGCACCAGGTGGCGGTATTCTATAATGTACATTTAGCTTGTCTAACTTTGGAAGTTCTTTATAGACTAGGTAATTTAAAAATTCTATCCAATCACGTTCCATTTCTTTCACGTTGTTTGTTTCATGCCATGAAGCATGATGCCAAGCCCTTTCTGCAAATGCAATCAGCCTAGGAAACATCATATACTCTAGCTGATCTGTTGTTTGTACCAGTTCTGTCCATACATGAGCCTGTATACCTTAACAAAAGATAAAATATCTTATTGTAAACTATAATATGGCGTTTAGACTGGTAGGCGAGAAGTCAGGAAAGTATGTCCTGGTAGGGTGATACTAATTCCTTAGACATTTGCATTCACAATAAGAATCTTAGCGGACGAATTCTGATAAAAAAAGAACTATGGGGAGAACTCCTGCATCGTAGACGAGGCATGTTTTTTTTATTTCGTACAAATTCTGTCCAGATATGTGCATGTATTCTCTACCAAATCATAAAAGATCTTAATATTTATAATATATGACATATATTTTAATCTTAATTAAACTTATTCTAATAATAGATATTCAGTAGGTATTTATTAATTCGAGAACTGTCTAATTGGAAAATTGTCAATGAGAGTTAACTCTGTTTGATTAGGGCTGACATAAAAAATTATTAGAGCTTAAACGTGCAAATTTCAGTTAACATGTACACTAGTGTTTATTGAATTAAATAATGTGTTTCTTCTCGACCGCATTGGCGATCTAGGTAGTGTAATCGCTTTGAAGTGCAGAAGTTCGTTGGTTCGACCTGATCAAATTATAGACTTGAAGTAGGCTTTTTGCTTCTTCTCCGATAGGCTTAGTACGCATGGCATTTGTAAGATTGGAAAAGAGAATGGTATGCTAAGAGTCAGGGAAATATGTTCGGGTAAGGTAATCCAACTCCCTACGATATTTGCGTTAACTAAAAAATCTTCACGGACGTATAATGTAAAAATCTTTAGGACTCCTGCATTGCGTCGGCGCGGTACAAAATGTATCTCTATAAATGTTTTAAACTCAAATCGAATCTGTCAATGTGTATGATATTTACTGTTATTTCTTGCTTTTTTGCTTTCTACGAATTAACAATGTATAAAACGTCAGGACTTAAGTATCATCGATGCGATCTTCACTAAGCCCCTTTTCACATACAATTATATATGTTGACTTACCAACAATATTTTCGGGTTTCTTTAATTCACCATAGTCATCTTCACCTTTTAATGGATTAAATGCAAACACCATTTTAGTGTTGATGAATTCTGTAGCCCATTTAGATCCCCTTTCTTCTGTGTCTTTTTCGTAGGGGTGGTCAAAATGGTGTAGGGAAGCTGGGCTATTTATAACCTGGCATGCAATAAATACAATAAGCATAAATATACCACGGAAGTACCAGTCGTGTAATTATTCAGCTCAGAATTGGACACTGTGATAAGCAATACAAGTTACGACAATATTCTATTTTATTCTTTCCTGTTTTGTACTAATGAATATTATCCGTACAATGACCTGTAGCTTTTCCTATCTAGTACAATTTTGGTTTTGGTTAAGAATGTCCGTCCTACTCAATTTTCGATAATTATTCAAACTTAACCAACATTTACCAAAATTGCAGTTTGAGCCATTGTAATGCATTTGAAATTTGAAAACAAGTTCAGAAATAGCAATGTTAGAACCTCAAACTATACATATGAAGCATTTGTATTAAATGAGAATTTTAGTCAAGTTTGGAAGATTTTAAAACGGTGTGGAATAAATTAAGGGGAAACTGCCCCATCCTCTTTCCATTGTCAGTAGGTATTATAAATATACCAATTTGTTTAGCCAACCATATTAAATTTGTACTTTCCATGCAGATATCAAAGTGTAAAAGAATAAACACTCTCAGCGTATGTTGTTTGAAAAGGCACATATTTCAGTTTGCATTACAGTGGAAATTTAATTTGTATGTTTAACAAAAAAGCCAGTAAACACTTACCTTGTACCCTGAATTGGCTAATTTAAACACTGCTTTGTTTTCTTCCTGATATACAAATGCATACACACTTCTGAAAAAGAAAATAGCTACATGTATGCTAACACATCTATGTTACTAAGTGTTAATGCTTTAATTCAGACAATAGCAAAACGGTTTCTTTTCAGATTGTTATGGTTGCACTTGTAATGTATATCGTCCCGTGGGATTTTAACAAAGTTAGGTCGACATCGACGACAAGATCTTCTGCTCGTGTCCAGTGCTTTTGGCAACACGCGTATACAGCCATGTAGGCTTTATGAATTATAGACTACGTTCATTTGTTGTAGCCTTTCCTCATATCGATTCAATCTCCTCTTACAGCATAGTACGTACATTTTTTGTGATATAAACTGAAGCCAGTTATTCAGTAGTTGTCGTTAGTTGCGGTCTGTTACATCTGTTTTTCGTGAATTGTTTTGTCGTAAATCAGGCCGTTAGTATTTTGAATTATTTGACATTTTGTCATGTCGAGGAATTTTACAGCTGACTATACGGTATTGGTTTATCTCATTGTCGAAGGCCGTCCGTGTGGTGACCTAAAACAGCTTCAATCTACATCAGTTAGACTGTTGTGTAGTTGTCTCGATGAAAATCATACCATAGCTCCTTATTTTTTTTATATATGATGCTGCTTTGAGAAATATTTCAACATTTCCTCAAGGATGGCAATGTTACTTGTAATACAGAGAACTATTTTTTTTACACACATCTCGAAATATGACCCACCCATCCATAAAGCCTTACGGAGAAATATGCCATGATTTTGTCCGTCTCTCTTCGACAAATGTGTTCTTTCTGATTCTACCTTTGATATCAACCGACTATTGTTTAATAATTAGATATAGGAAGATGTGGTATGAGTGCCAATGAGACAACTCTCCATCCAAGTCACAATTTATAAAAGTAAACCATTATAGGTCAAGGTACGGCCTTCAACACGGAACATTGGCTCACACCGAACAGCAAGCTATAAAGGGCCCCAAACAATTTATAGTGTAAAACCATTCAAACGGGAAAACCAACGGTCTGATCTATATAAAAACGAGAAACGAAAAACACGTATAATAATATTCGTAAAAATATTCAAATACAGAACTATATAATGCAAATAGTTTATGCGTATTCTGGACAAAAAAAAAGTTCTAGTATATTATTGATAAGTTCAGCAAAGTTGGATGACTGGGGAAAATAGTGGGACTTTCGACTACCACGGGAAAGGGAGGGCATGTTGGATAGGGTCAAAATTTTGCCTTGCATTAGGGAACATACAGACCCCTCAACGAGTTGTTACAGTTGTTCTTTAATGCGCAGATGGCGTGGTATTTTCCCTACACGAGACATCGAAATTCAACGTTCCCATTCCAACCGGACGTAGATTCGTATTTCTACACTCTGCAGAGAAAAACGGACGCCCCTTTATACCAGGAGTTTTACTATCAGATAGCAAAATTCCAATGATGACCATATTTTTTTACCCCGTCAATCTTTGGGTTTAAAAGTAGTTATTGAGAAATAGAGAGAATGTTGTACCTTTCTTTAAATACATTACCAGGGAAAAAATAAAGAATTTGAAAAAATATAAATGAAATTAAAGTTTGAAAATAATTTATCTGGAAATTGGTGCAATTTAAAAACAAAATATGACTTTTTATTGTGTTCTCCTTTTTTATCATAAAAAAACCCCAAATAATTACCTGTTTTCTTTTGTAATATTATGTAAGCTCTCTACAGTATACGGTGTTTTGTCTGGTTTCAGAAAACTGTCATCCCATGCTCCAAAAGAGACATTAGTAAATTGTTTCTTTTGAAAAAGACGCTGTATAAAGTTGTGCATTAAATCAATTTTGTTTTCCTTACATTTCATACCCTGAAGTGCTGGTTTAGGTACTTTATCTCCTCCAAAATGAAACAATGTTAACGGCTGTATGTCCTTGTGTGCTTCAACTACAGTGTCTATAACTTTATCGACGAAATCGTATAGTCCATCACGACAAGGGTTAGCAATATTATCATTATACCCCTGCAGCGACCTGTAGTTTTTACTATCAGCTTTGTCGGTCATTTTGTACTGGTCCCGTATTGTTCCTTTACGACTTGCACGCAGAGAAATAGATTTTAGTGCAGCGCGCATGTGACTTGGCATATCTATTTCCGGTATAACTTGAATATGTCGTTCATTAGCATACTTAAGAATTTCCTTGTAGTCAATTATGTTGTAAAATTCAGGACCCTGGTCTTGAATATACGGCCCAGATCCTAAAGAAGGCATGAGACATAATGTTTCTGATTCGTCGTGACATCTTTTAGATCCTAACTACAAAACATATTGTATAATGTACAACAGTTTCATTGGTTAAAATATGAAAATCAAACAATTTCATCGGTGTCTGCTGAAAATACCTTAAATATTTGCCAAAATGCAAGGAGTTAAATGTAAAATGAAACCTTAAATTATTAAGTCAAAGAAAAAATCTAATAAAATATATATTGAATAAAAACAAGAAAAAGGGGAACAGTTGTCACAATAATGTGAAATTGTACGTTAAACTTGTATAAAAACCAGGAGATTTAGTACGATTGCCAATAATTAAGACATTTATCTATACAATAAAAGGTAAACTCACAAAAATACTGAACTCCGAGGAAAATTAAAAAGGGAAAGTCCCTAATCAAATGGCAAAATCTCAAACACATCAAACGAATGGATAACAACTGTCATATTTCTGACTTGGTACAGGCATTTTCTTATGTAGAAAATGGTGGATTGAACCTGGTTTTATATCTACATGTAGCTAAACCTCTCACTTGTATGACAGTCGCATCAAATTCAAAAGACCAACAGACAATATGTCAACAATTGCAGGTCAACGTGCGGTGCGGTCTTCAGTAATGAAAAAAATGCATACCGTCCTTAGCTATAAAAGGTCTGATTCTATCACAACAATAAACGATAAACACCATTATGACAAACAGCATCCAAGGACAACTACTGGGTTACAGGCTTGGGACAAGCACAAAAAAATATCACCCTAAGAAGAACAAAATAGAGTACATCTAATTTAATTTATCTTCTGAGAAAAATTGATAGGAATAAAAAGAGATGTGCACGACATAAACTTCAATGAGTCAACAGACCAACGACATAAATAACCATACAAACATCTACTTGGGAGACGGATTTATATAAGTCCCTTTTGTTTCCGAATCCCTGTACATTTGTATTTCTATTGTATAATTGTGATTTGTGCACTTTTGAAAAATAGATATTGTTTAAACTAAACATCTACTAAGAGGTCAAGATACAGGTGTATTTTGGATTGATAACAAACTCTTTGTCGTTCTGAGTCTTAACACACATTGAAGTTGTGAATAATATAACAGAAATTAAAAAAAAACACAAATGCCATATTTATCAATTCTCCAAATAACAGAAACTTTTTGATAAAACATTAAATAACCACTGACGAGGTCAGTTTCTGAACAAAGGTTTGTTAAAGCTGCTAATGGGACACATACTAACTCATCATATGTCACAACCCGGAGCAGGATTGTTTGGTTGATTGTTGGTGTTAAACGCCACTTTCACACGACATTTGTTATTTGACACGACATTTGTTATTTGACACGACATTTGTTATTTGACAAGACATTTGTTATTTGACATGACATTTGTTATTTGACATGACATTTCAACACCATTTAGATTTTGATAAAACTTTGATGCATGTTCACTTGAAGTGTTAAACTGTACATCTTGTTTTGAAATTTGTGTTTCAATCATATGATAATTGTTTTATTACATGCATACAGAGTTGTTGTTGTATGGTTCTATTTGGTCTTTTTTGTGTTTGTCTTATAAAAAAATGAGAAGATGTGGTATGATTTCCAATGTGACAATTCTCAACCAGAGACCAAATGACGTAGAAGTCAGCTTGTGTATATTCAAATTATAAATTTGATATGAAAAATATGAAACATTTATTTCTACGTTCTGTAAACACTCCCAATACTTGAATAGAGTAAGACAGTACACTGTACCTGGGTCAGTTCCGGTATATCAGGTATTTCTAGTCTCCAGCCTTCATCATCACTCAGGTGTAAATGAAACTTGTTTAATTTATACATAGCCATCAGATCTAGTAGCTTGAAGACCGTTTCCTTAGAGTGAAAGTTTCTAGATACGTCCAACATAATACCACGATATTTGAATCTTGGTCTATCTTTTATTGTTACACTATTAAATACAATTGGACCTGACTCTACTGTTTTGTCTGCTAGGCTGAGCAATGTTTGGACACCATTAAATATGCCGTGTCCCGTTGTGGCTGTTATCTGAATATCGGTCGATTTGCCGTCAATCTTTAGTTCGTATGCCTCATCACTTTCTCCTAATTGAGTGTTCTTAAAGATTGGCTTTCCTTTAACCATCTTTATCACTTTATCGGGAGATGCATTTGTAGCAACCTTCACTTTTAGAGCATCTATGACAAAATAATAGTAGAACAGAACAATCTTTTTTACTATGAATATCATCTGATGTCTGATATTTACCTAATGTTCAATTTACTGGCAATGCATTGGTGTGTGTGTTAATTTGTTCAATCTGTTAGTCGTCAGTTTTGTTCCTCACAAAAGTTGCAGTGGTACAGTCCCACGGTCAAAAACTGTGTGGTATACGTTTTATTAAATCAATAAAAAAAACACACAAGTAAATGAATACTAGCGTTCCTGTCGTAAATAGACGTGTATATATTTGCTTCTGAAAAATTTATCGATTCTCATTTTGAATTTTCAAACGTGTTAACATAAGGAACGTGTTTTGGTTATACAATTAACATGTACCGAATTTTTGTGCATTTGGTAATGCCTAGCCTGTCTAGTGGATGAATAAACGAAATAGGGTATGCAGTATTGCCACGAATTATATGACTGTCTTAAATGTTTTTATACGAGTAATGTGACAAACGTACATGTAGCTAGTTAAGCAAGAGATGCCGACCATTCCGTAGCATCCAATCTAATCCATTGATGCTGGTGTGCTTCGTCTTGACAATGTTTTGTTATCGGTTTAGTAATTTGAAATTTGTTTTTTTTTTCTTTTACTCCTTGACCATGTTGACATGTCCGACTATCTCATCGCCTCTTCTTTGGTACCTTTTAACTTTTTTTTTAATGTGAATGTTTCCAATTTATTTTGAAGATATTTTTTAGGGGAAGCAACGCTTACTTTATCCCTGTCCATACAAATTTTATGGGAAGAGCAGGCTTTGGTGTACGTACTAAGCTGTTGTTAATTTTCATTTCAATCCCCCATTTTGCAATCCAATGTCAATGTAAATGCGTATTATAAATGCAATTATAGATAATAAATGTACGTGCCGGCGAGGTTAAAATTATTGTCAGATCCCGCAAAATAAACCATGCTTTTTTCATAAGGTTTTAATGACCAGTTACATACAGTTTTTCTTAACTAGGAGTTATTTCCCATGAATAATATTCTAAAAATGGATACACAGTCGGCAATCTAAAAATGAACAAACGGAAAATTGTAGTGCTGATTGTATAGTGGTTTTATCGTACCTGCTAAGTACTTGACTTCGTCTGGAAACTCGTCAGATTTCTGAATCACCCACTCTTCCAGTTTCAACATTATGGTATCATTAGACATTACAGCTATCTCTTCTGGCGAAGGGACGACATATTTTTGTGTCCTCTTTAAGTCAGTGTGGTTGTTATTTATTTTATACCGTTCTTTCGATGTAAGTTGACTTCCAAATGATTTCACAAAATTTAAATTTTCGCCTTTGGTGCTTTCGATAATTTTTGGTTTTGATTTTGAACCGACAACATACCAGTTAGGTAACGAATCTGTCCTAGATCTTTGGAATTTGGTGGCTGTAAGTGGAATTTTTATTTTACTTCCTGGTTCGAAGAATATGAAGACTTCTTTGCGTGGATAAATACAATAGAGTGAACCGGAAACGTGTGTCAAAATGAAAGTTTTATCCTCTCCAACTACGACATTTTTGGGATACGAATCATTTATATTTTTCAGGTTTGGATTCAGGATGCTCATTTGAGAGAAGTAAATTTTCCAATCTGTTTGCGAAATCCTTTTCAATCCTATGTTTTTTAAGAATAGTATATGTTCAGTATTGTATTGTGCATCGTCTTTGACAGTCCATATCACATCAAGGTATTTAGCTAAGTAGTTTATCAACTCTTGGTCAGTGCTAACGTTCACTTGAAAAAAAAATGAATATAAAAACAAAAAATAGAAATTAATGAAAATTAGGAAAATATACCATAAACTATAACATATAAAAGATAATAAAAATTAACATAATAAACCAAAAACTAAGAAATAAACAAACTGTTAGAGCTTACTATATGCATGTGTCTTGCTCATTGTTGAAGGCCGTCGCATTCCTTGGTTTGACACAAGGTACAGGGTATGACTTTGTAATTTTGTGGTTATTTATAATAAATCATGCCTCCCGTGTCGACGTACCTGCTCTCACACATGTTTAATTGCATGTGATTCCTATTGCGTTTACTCCAAAACACATTTAATAAACCATGCATACTGATGGGTATCCTGACTAAAAGAGTCCAGATCTCTCTCTATTACTCTCTCTTGTCTTTCTTTCTTTCTCTCTATCTTCTTTCTTTCCTTCTTTCTCTCCCAAATTGTCACTATATTTTTTAAGATCAGATAATGTTTATGTGTGACTTGCAACCATTTGTTTTTGCGTCAATGTATCTGACGTTAAATGCTTGGTACATATGCTTAAATCAGATGCGTAACTTACCATTCTGTTGTTCTACTCTCGGTTCCTGTTTAATGTCTCTTTTTGTGACGTCTTCTTTTTGTGGAATTTGACTGTAAAACGATAGACTATATATATATATATATATATATATATATATATATATATATATGTTTTAGTAGAGTATGTTATAAAGCAAATGGACTGCGTTTAAGAATACCATTGAATGGTCAGAGGTTAAACGTCAACACAAGTAGACTGATCGATTGGGTACTCGTTCTCATGAAAACAATTAACACAGATTTTATTCTTTACTTTGAGAAAAATGATCGTAGCGATGCTCAAGTATGGCGATCTGATCGTGAATGTAATTCAGTACAATTCAACTTTAAAATCTGTGAAAAAATCTGTTGGGTGATCAAAACGCGGAGACAAGTCAGATCTTTTTCACAATCCGACGGACACATCTAAACAGGTATTAGATTACTTGGCAGGAAATACTCTTAGACTAATACAACTAATTCTGGTTGTCTGTGCATGCTAAACAATTTGATAACCAAACTACCCGAAGAGTGAAAACCAATTTTCTCATGAATAAATATACAATAATTGTAAACAAGTAAAAGTATAAACCATTACGAACACGCGTTACGCATGTTACTATCTAAAAAAGATAAGCGGTATGCGAAACATTCTTACTAAGTCTGGAGTTCATTTGCCTGTTAGTTTCAGAAGATTCAAAAGATGTTCTAAAAAAGTATACGAAAGAAGCAAAATGACGGACGACGACGTATGGTGGAGGACGGCAAAATGACCGGCAACGGCAAATGACGGACTTCAAACACCGACGACAACTCTTTCAAGAAAGTTCAAGTTCCAGAAATTTGATCTCTTTTTTTCTTTATGTTATGAGGAGTTAGAATTTATACAACCCCTTTTTGTGTGAATTTTACGTTTGCGTGTGCTTGATTAATTCTAACTCCCAATACTTACCTTGTTTTGGCAAGGTTTTGGTGAGTGGACCTAAAAATATAAACAAGTCATATGACCATTCGTTGTATTCAACCTATTAACATTTTCTACTGTAAAACTTGGAAATTTTGTTACTCAAAAGTTAAACTATATAAACAATATAAAAATAATATTAAAAACCAATTGTTCAGAGAACAATTGAAGGTCTTTCCACATAACATTAGACTTAGTGTTCTTGATAAAAAGATTAAAAAAATACACTTAGGGTATGAGAAAACAGCTCATCTATAATATCCCAATTCCAAAAATATATGGTTTCTTTGTACTTGCACTTGAAATAAGGGATATTATATGCTTTATATATATTTTTTATATATTTTTGGACCGAATGTACCATTTTTTTCCTTTTAACAACCCAAAAACTTTGCACCAGTTCTTTTGTACATAGCTTTTACAGTTTGAGAGGAGATGCACACACTAACAAAGGGGAACATTTTAGAATATGACCTTGACCTTTGACCTTGATCTCATTTCCCAAGTTATGACTTAAGGATCTCAAATCAAAAGACCTTAGGTCATTACGGCTTACGGTTTATGAATTAACTGACATACCGATAAATTAAATATTGACTGGTAGATAACTCCTGTAAAATGTCACCAGATCGCTTCGTTTTAAATTGACCATGCAAAGCTTCATGAGAATATATCGAACACTTTAGAAAAAGAATTTTGTTGATATCTTTTTTTGTTACGAAGGAGATGGTCAAAAAAGATAAACAGTGTATGGGGAGATATAACTCTTACAAAGAAAATTGTTCGGCTTAGCAAGGTAAAAGTTAGAAAGGCATTATAACTGTACGATACAATATAAGAAATGTCAAAGCGACATATTGCGAAACAAAAATTTAACGCAAGAAAAAAATTTGGTGGAAAAAAAAATTATAATAATAATCAGAACATAATCAAAAGGTCTTTCCACCGAAAAGGCAAAGACCTAAACACCATGTTTGTATGATTGTCAATGAGAACTCTCGACCAGAGATCAAATGACGTAGAAGTTAGCAACTATATGTCACTGTACGGCATTCAAAGTGGTTTGTTGAATGACTTGTTGACTTGCATGCGATTTTGACATTACACAATTTTGTTTAAGAAGAGCGTATGAATTAGAGGTGGGTGAGCTGGTTCTTCATTTATGTATTATTTTTCAAATCTTTAAGCCATTTTTCTCTATTTTTTACTTTATTCAATTCTGTACTTTTGATTTATTCTTTAGCACCCATTATTTTCCTTTCTCTATTTTTAGCAACTCATTATTCTTTATTCTTTATAGTTTGTTCTTCATTTTTTTCCCCCAATTTATTCTTTTTTCTGTAAATCCCTTTCTGATACTTTTTATAATGAGTGGAGGTGTTTTTGGATTATTCTATACTAATACAGCTTTTTCAAGACAAGATGTAACATGGACTGTTTTATAGATATCATTTCAACTTACCAGTGGTAGTGAAAAACATCACTAATACTGATGAAATGTATACACATGGCTATGATAAATACTGCTATCACTAGATTACGAAATTGTCTCAATTTTAGGTCCATCGTAATCCTCCGCGCCCTCAGCTGCACCTAGTCTATTTTTCATGATCTGAAATATTAGGAAGATATTTGTTATCCATCAATGCTTCAAATTGTGCCTTTGTTAAATAATTGAATGCTGTAATTTTAATATATAATGTCTATGAATGAAAGTAAGTGACCATCACATTTTGTATGAATCGCGGAAGTCCTTTGTGTTAAATTAGATGGTTACTACATGTAGCTTTCATTTCGTATAAATTGTCAAAAAAACATCATTCAATTCTTATATTTAAGATTTTTGAAACAAACAAAAAATTCTATACACACGTTGAATCTGAAAGTTAAAATTTCAACACAGCAGAAATAGTCTAGTGGGATGAAAGCTGTACCGTTCCACGAGAAATCAATTATTATAATACGTCATATAGCTGAATTTGGCATATGAAGAAGATATTGATTTTAAAGTATAAAGCTTGTAAAATATTTATCAAAATCATTGTTGTACATGTATATCATAGGATAATAATTATAATCGGGGTAAATAATGAGCGGACACAGGTCATTACTATATGCCTTGAAGCACTTTTTATTGAAGCTAGAATGAAATATCGCTCTGAGAGAAAATAACTATTTAAAAGACTATTATGAATTGAAAGTATGTGAATAAAGGAACTAAAAAAGCCGAAAAAATTGAAGGATCCGTGTGCTTGTTTTCGAGATATAAGCCATTGAAAATTTGGCGGGAAGTGATTCTCTCTAGACTTTTCGTACAGTTAACATTGTCACCTTTTTTTTCAAAAACAAAGAAAAAATAACAAGGATTTTATAAGATTTAAATATTGCTTTTCAAGATATATATAATGAAAATATTAAAAGAAAAGTAGGGGTTTGCAGGCAAAATTTTTAATGGCATTACAGGGAGAAAACCAGAGGATTCCGAATAACTGGCAAAAAAGGAGCGAACATCCTTAAGAGTCAATATGTTTCTACATACTAAATTGTCATATATTTATGTCATGTATTTCCATTATGATTATGTGGTGAATTAATGTGTGTATTAAGAAAGGACTTACCAGAACATTGTACAAAATCTTTGAGTGGTGTGTGGTTTGCTTGTTTCATGATAAAAGTTCTCCCCTCCTGTTCTGACTATCCAAATGTACCACACTTCATTCTCGTTCATCTACTGTACAAACAATACTTATTTGATTTTTTTAATATGTTCTCGAAAAATGCTTGTTATATTTGCCACTGGACTTTGGTTAAACTATATCTAATTAATTTATGCTGGACAAATAAGAAATATCGTCAATGATAATGAAAAAAAACATGCAAATAATATTCAATATGCTGGTCATCTCACATTAATTTTGTGTTTTGGAATAATTCCAAGTTAGAGTTCCTATACAGATTATGGCCTCCAAAATTTGGTCAGTCGCATTGAATTCCATTCGAAAAGAAACCCGTGTTGTTTAAATTTAGTGTGTTCTGCCACGCCGCGTTTGAACTAATACTCGTTATTCAGCTCGAAATTACTTCCCTGTTAACACATCTACGATTGTTAAATTGTATAGTGTGTAGCCAAGGTTAAAAATGGTATATTAGGTAAAATATTATTATTTGTTATTTAAATAGTAATCGTCTAGTCATAAATTGAAGAAACTTTACAACCTGTATGTGAAAGCAAATTTATTTGAAATAAAACTATAACAAAAATTGATTTGCCATTCGCATGACTGATTGATTTACTAAAATGTAACATGAGGACTAAAGCAGACAACAGTTAAGAAGATAGATTCCTGTAGGTCCAAACACACATTTTCTTTCACTAATTGAAATGTGTAGTTCAGTCAACAGAAAATATCCGGCCAGTTCGTTATATCGACTTAAATCTTACCTGCATAATTTATGACATAGGTTGGACAGGAATGGATGTATGATATATTCAAGTGATATTATAGTTACGGATGGTGAATTTAAATTATTGCTTGAATGATTGCCTACCTTATAAACTAGAAATCTTTCCGATATTCACCCCTTTTAAAACTCAATTAGTTGTTCATGTACCGTGTACTATTTGCACATTTGGAACCGACATCTGATTCTGCAAAAGACTTCAAAGCTAGGAAGCGTAAGAACATAAACATTTGCCGGTAAAGTCCATCCCATAATATTCTTATTGATTTTTATGTGTGCAGTCACATTTTAAATATCTATTGTTATTTCATTGTACTAGGTAAAGGGTGGGGAAATATATTTTTCAATAAATATTAGCATATTTATAAGTGAATTTAATTAATATTATTTGAACTTTTTGTTTAATTGATTTTTTTTTAATAGACAAGCAACTTAGATAAATATTTTATTTAATTAATATTATTTAGGACGAGAAGGGTGAAAATAAACAGGTGATCATTCCCATGTAAAAAGGGGGGCATTTACTATATATATATATATATATATGTGATCAGATGTCGGCATCTTTCAAAGATGCGACTAAAACAGCAGCGGCTGGCACAAATGCATCTTATTCTGCAAAATATATTTATATCTAAAAACAGTTTTTGAAATAGAACAAGATAGCTATAGGTCTATTTTATGTCAATCAATTTATGAAAGGGTACGTATTTTTTTAATATTCAAAGTATATGAAAAGACTGCGGTAATGGATGTCTCAGCTGCTTAGTTTATCCCCCTATCTACTTCAGTTGTTCTCTGGTGGGTTTTTTTTTCGTTGAGCAATCATGCCACATCTTCTTACTTTTATATAGATATTAACAGTAAAAATGTTTTAATAGAGTCAAAGAATGTAAATACAAATTTCTCCATTTGAGGGTATTTTGAGTCTTTTTTTTTCTTCTCTTTATTTACAGTGTACTTAGCAGAAATGAACTGTAATTAGATAATAGATTAAATGATAACAAAACGTACCAATATATTTTACACAACAGACTACATCAACAGGGGCGTATCCAGGATTTTTAAAAAGGGGGGGGGGGCGTAATTTCATAAAACAGATTATATAAATTTTTGGACGATTAAAAAATTATATGCATAGTTAAAAATATGATATAATAATTTGTTTTGGCGATCAAAAGGGGTGTACACCCTCTACGCCCCCTAGGTCCGCCACTCATTAACCACCATCACCCGTCTCCTCCGGAAAAATAGACCTAGTACAAAGGAAAAATTACGTACAACAGAGTGTCAAGATAGCTGGAGTTGGTAAAGGCACAAACTGCAGATGTATGTGCATCTTCAACAGTCCATGGCCACTCTCCAACATAACATGTACATTTAGAATATAATTAAAATTCTCTTTTTTTCAAATATTTATGTTACTAAATCAATCTAACTTATCTTATAACCCCTTTTGTAGAGGAACCAAATTTACATATGTACAAGAAAAGAGGCGAAAGGTACCAAAGGGACATGCAAACTCATAAGCCGAAAATGTGCTCTCTCTCTCTCTCTCTCTCTCTCTCTCTCTCTCTCTCTCTCTCTCTCTCTCTCTTATATATATATATATATATATATCGTCGTGTGAATCAAATAATGGTGTATTTCCCATTTGGTAATACATGTAGTGGTCAAAATTAAATAAGTTTAAAAGCTCAATGTCTTAAATATTTGACAGAGTAACTTTTTGCTCAATTGATTTTTTTTTGATAGACAAGCAACTTAGATAAATATTATAAAGCATCCCCTTTTCTGAAGATACAACATTTCACTACAAACAATGTTGTTTTAGAAATGTATCCCTATATTTCTATATATAGGAGATAGATCATGGATTTTTTAAACTGTGTAATATCCCCAATTCTGGACTGCTGGATATGCTATAAGAACTGCTCATAGATTGAGTTTTAACCATGCAAACAACTTAAGCATATTACTACTAAGATAATTTTGATAACAATTATTTTTCAGCAAAAATACCCGAAAAATAGTGGAGATACAACACTATAAATATATTTTTATCTGAACTTACTAGATGAATAATCCAATGGGAATGTGGAGATAGAACAGGGTACTTCTGACAAAAATTTGGAGGGTGCAGAAATCTTGCATTATAGTTGTATAGGGAGATAGACCATTAAACTTGGATATCAAAAATATAGATATCTCCATTTTAATCAAAAGTGGACATATAAAACTAGATGATTCACATGACGATATATCTATATTGTTTTCAGTTTCTCTCTATAATAGTTTGTAAAAAAATAGTTAACACTAATCATTTAAAGAGGCAATAATTCCTATTAGAAGTGGACTGACAATTTCAGCTACGTGACTTTTTTCTAGATCTTGCTGATAATTTTTGCTGTTTGTATTTTGCTGCTACTATAGTTTTTAAATGTTAAAAGTCAATTTAGGGCAATAGTTTTTATAAAGAGTCGACTGACAATTTTGCCAATTACTTTATAAACGTGTTTTATTGTTCATTAACTGCAATGTATACAAACGGACTTTACAACTTAGCAATGTCTTCTCCGGTACGTACACAATTTACAAATATTAGATGAACATTTGCAAAAATAGACAATATAAATATTCTTTTTATACCGTAAGTAGTCGTTGAAAATGAAATGGAAAAGGATGTTGTTATATACGACTTTGGCAATGTTGCTTTTTTGTAGGTCTTGTCCTGCTGATCACCTTTACTGTTATAAGTTTCTCGCTTGGTTATTGGTAGATATCTTCTTATATACTTTTCAAGATAATTGGAAAAACGAAAACAAATTGGTAAAAATCGTCATTTAATGGGACTTTTATAAGGAGTAGTCCGAGACTGCAGTGGCGGATCCAGAACTTTTTGTAAGGGGGGCCCGCTGACTGACCTAAGGGGGGCCCGCTCCAGTCACGCTTCAATGATTCCCTATATAATCAACCAAAATTTTCCCACGAAAGGGGGGCTCGGGCCCCCCTGCCCCCCCCCCCCCCCCCCTGGATCCGCCTATGGAGAGTTTTTGTACAAACGGAAAACGGACGGCAGATAGATCTCATCATTCTATAAATGTCTACGCTGGTCATATAACGGTCAACAAGATAATAGCCAATAATTGCATTTTACCCCTATGTTCTATTTTTAGCTTTGACTGACTTGTTGGTTGGCAGGCTGGATCATCAAACATATTTTTAAACTATAGGTACTCCAAGGATAATTGTGGCCAAGTTTGGGTTTAATTGGTTTAATAGTGTCAGAGAAGAGTTTTGTAAAACTAAAAAGACGTCGAACAACAGACGACGGAAGGGGAACAGATAACAAGGCAACCCGAAACTATAAGTCAATTTATTGAATTGATTGATTGTTGTGATCCACCAGCAAATATTTCATGTCAATTCAGGGCGAGACAAATCATAATTCATTCAAAAGGTATTTTCTGCATGATTGGTCGACAGGAATGAAGAGCGGAAATTTGAATACAAGTCGGAGTAAGACAACTCGAACTACTGTTAAAGACAACTCAGACCAGTCAAAAGACCACTTTGACCAGTTGAAAGACAATTAAGACCACTTAAAAGACAACTCGACCAGTTAAAAGACATTAAGACCACTTATGAAGGAAACACAGAAATGTTCGAAAGAGGGTCGTATTGGAGGTACCTTCACGACGAAAAAAGTTAACGGTAACTCTTTTTTCTGTTTAAACGTTAACGATATATTTTGGAGCGTGACAATAAAGAACAACTTTGTGAAATAATTTCGATATATAACCGTTTGGAAAAGATACACTGAAAGATAGTGCCAATTTGCCCGTAAGCGCCTGATAGGCCCAAAATAAGATAATCACAGAGAACAATGTGACATCTTCAACTAAAATAGAAACAGCAGAGAGATGTTTACATCAGCTGGGTCATCTCGTTCAAATATAAAAATATTAGACGATTAACCAACCTCTTGCTGAAGAGATTTTTATCTTGTTAGGTCGCGTTTAATTCATTTTAAAAAGTTCTCGACTAATGACGCGATTTTATCACAGGAAATTAAATAATTAAAATTTGCTGTAAAGATGTACAGTCGGCAAAGGAGGATGGAAAAGGATTGATAACATCAATTAAAATTGTATCTGTAATTACAAAATAGTCATATTGAATAATTTTTTGTTAATTTCATCTGTCTAACTGACAAAGTAACGGAAAATATTAAGACAGGGTTTTCTTTTAATTCTCACATTTTATGCTGATCATCACATATTTTTGATATACATAATAATATGTAAATAACGCGTTGGCGATTTTTTTAATATCAGCTAATAATGTATTCTTAATGAAATACATAATATAAAAATATCTCGTTATAAATGGTGTGTCTTGTGTCTGATCAAGATTCGGATATAATTGATAACCGTGTGAATTTAAATATCTACATGTATACAAGCGTGGAGGACTAAAGTCGAGATTGATGTAATATGATTTTATTTGATTACATATAACTACTTATTTCTAAAGAAACATAAAAAAAATCATCGTAAAAGTGGTTTGACTTTCTAACATTGGGTTCACAGACATCCGTGTTCTTTATAAGGTAGCCTGTGTGTTTTGAGAATATTCAAACGAAATTCTTGGGAGCCTTTACTTTGAAATGCTCGATTTAATTTTAAATGTAATACATGCAAAACAATAAGGAGATGTTGTATTGTAAGATTGCCAATGAGACAACAATCCACAGAGATTCAAAGAAGTGGATGTAAGCAATAATAGGCAACCGTACGGCCTTCAACAATGAGAACCCATACCGTATAGTCGGCTTTAAAAGGCTCCGACAAGAAACTTGTGAAACAATTCAATTGAGAAAACAAGCGGCCTATTTTATAACAAAACAATTTACCAAAAAATATGACAGACATAAACCAACGACAAATGCAACCACTGAACTACAGGCTCCTGACTTTGGACAGGCACATAAAGAATGTGGCGGGGTAAATCATGTTTGGAGGCGCCAACCCTCCTCCTAACTCCTAACTCGGTACAGTGGTGTAACGGCACAACATAAGTACAAATTTTACAAAACAATTAAAGAAGGTCTTTCCACAGTAATTTAAATTTTTTTTGAAAAGAAGCCAGTTCGTATTTACTCAAAGTTAAAATTGGCATCTTATCATCAGTTTCTTCATACTGATGCGATAAATAAGTGGTTTCTATATAATTAGCTACTTCCGGTGAATTAAATGTCACTTCCGGTCTCATATAAT